CAGGGTCTCCCTGTAGCCCCAGCTGGCCTGGAACTTGCTATGTAGACCAGGCTGTCCTCAATCTCCCAGAGATCTGCCTGCCTCTGCCTCCCAAGTGCTGGGATTAAAGGTGTGCACCACCATGCCTGGCCCTTGCTCTCTTTAGAAACAGAAGTAAGTGATAAGGGGATATGAGTCCATTCATTCACATAGCGAAAATTTTTAGCTAATGAAAAATGTTAACATAAATTTACTTAGACCCAGCACTGGCAACTGTAAAGGAACTTGTTTTATACCAATAGTTCTGGGAGTTTTATATATAGAGTCATTCCTTAAAGAAAACAGTTTGCTAGGTGATAGTTCAAAAACCACTAATGATTGTGCCATTTGATAAACAGATCCAGTAGTCATAGATCTCTTTAACTTTCTTTCGACGGAAGAAAAGCAGATACTCGTAGAAACTATATTGACGAACCATTAAGGAAATGGTAATCTATGACTAAGAATTTCTAGCCATGAAATGATAGGACAATTAATGATAGGTTTTTATTATGCTCAGTCTATGTAGAACATGTTTCTGTATGTCTGGTGAAATCGTTAAAACTATGGCTATTTATAGTCAAGAGAACATTGTCAGATTGTTGCAAATTTGATCCAGTTGTATTTTAACTGATAAAGCCAAATATAATTCTTAGACGGAGAATAGAAGAAATGGAAGAAGAATTACAGAAAACAGAACGCTCATTTAAAAACCAGGTAAAAATTATTGTATAGTTTATTGCAGCAGTAGTGATACTTTTGAGATATGGTTTTCCTATAGCGCCAGCTAGTCTGAACTCACTTTGTAGACCAGGCTGGCCTTGATCTCACAGAGATCCATCTGCCTCTTCCTCCCGAGTGCTAGGATTAAAGGCACTGTGCCACCATGCCTGGCAGTTGCAGAATTTTTTGATAGCTGAAATAGAAGTTAAATGGTTGTTATAGGAAATCTCTGAACACCTGTTTGTCTTTTTTCAGATTGCTGCTCATGAGAAGAAAGCTCATGACAACTGGGTAAGGATTTTTTTCTCTTTTTTCTATTCTGTGCACAGCCTATCACATCTGAATTGCAATATTTTCTTTAATAGCTCAAAGCTCGTGCTGCAGAAAGAGCTATAGCAGAAGAGAAAAGGGAAGCTGCTAACCTAAGACACAAGTATGCAATTCTGATGCCTGTTCTCAGTGCTCTTTAGAACGCTTTAATGTAAGACGGTATGTAATAATTGATTGCTGTTTGATTTCAAGTCCATTCTTTCTCAATATTCAAGGTTACTGGAAATGACCCAAAAGATGGCAATGCGCCAAGAGGAACCTGTGATCATAAAACCAATGCCAGGAAGACCAAATGCACAAAATCCTCTCCGGAGAGGTAGGAGCACTTTGAAAAAGGTGCAGAAGTTTTGGTGCAGAATGTATGCAAATTAAAGTTTACTTCTGTAATAGTTATGATGCCCTACAAATCATCCTAAGGGTTTACTAGTGGAAAGGAGCTGTCATAAAGTGGTGACTGCGTGTTGCTGTCTTCAGGTCCACTAAGCCAGAATGGCTCTTTTGGCCCATCCCCTGTGAGTGGTGGAGAATGCTCCCCTCCCCTACCAGCAGAGCCACCCGGGAGACCGCTCTCTGCCACACTCAGTCGGAGAGATGTGCCCAGAAGTGAATTTGGTGAGCACTGACATGTTACTCTTCACTAAACCATTTCAAGTGGGTTTTCCCCGTTTGAGAATTCAGATGAGAACATTTTAGAATCCAGATTTCTTCAATATAGACAAGAAACTCTTAGAGGAATTGATCACCCCAGGGCCTGCTATTGAACAGAAGGCACTTATTTTCCTACAAGTCCCTATATTGTTTTTGTTAACTTTTAAACTGTGTAGTTTACACTGTGTACATACATTTCTTGTTACTATAATATGAAATGCTCTAAGTCTTATTTCTGTCTGTAATGTGTAGTAAGATTAGAAGTCAGACTGAAAAAATGGCCAGCTAATCAAATTCTATCAAATCTGTAACTTGAAACAACAGATAAGCACTCTTAATTTACACTTTATTGCTGTTCTTCAAATCTAAGGCAGTTCTTGTTTTTAATACTTTGTCTTTGCATAAATTGTGACTCAGATATAGTGAGAGATTCCTTTTTGCTGGGATTGCAGGCATATGCTACCCTACCTCGTAGTGCTGCTTTCTACTTAGGAGTTCAACCCTAAACCTAGCTACAGCTGGTTTATTTCTGAAAAGTACATGCCAAGGGCTTTGTTGTTTCTTTCTCAAGGGTCACTGGATAGGCATTTACCTCGCCCTCGATGGTCTTCTGAGGCATCTGGGAAACACTCTGCCTCTGGTAAGGGGTCTAAGTAACTTCAGAGTCTAATTATGCTTGCAGGACTTTTTAATATTCTCAGAACACGATCAGAATGAGTTTAAGTCAGTTCTCTGGTCCGTCACAGACCCAGGTCCAGCTCCTGTGATGAACAGCAGCTCCAGAAGCTCTTCCCCAGCTAAGGTGATGGATGAGGGCAAGGTAAGCCCTGCGGGACATGACAGTCTCCTGCTGTGCTCTGCCTTATCTCCTGTTTATGTGCTCTGTTCGTACTATCCTATTTGTTTCTTTTAAAAAGCACACTGTTCCCCAAGAGCCTGAAGGCCCCTCAGTTTCCAACATGGCCCCTTTGGCTGAGCATCCAGTGGCAGTAAGTGTTTAGAGGCTGAGGATGGGGTTAGGCTGTGATGCTGTTTGGTGTGTTTCTGGAAAGAATAAGAAGCATGGTGCTGATCTTGTCTAAACCGAATGTAGCACTGATTATCCTTGACTTAGGAATGTCACTCAAGTTTGTTTTCTGCAAGTAAAACAGCATTTTCCTGAAACAGTAAACACAGCAATGTCCTGTTGAGCCGGTCCCAAGCAGTGTCATATTTTGCTCACAGCAGTGCATGTTCTTGTAACTTGTGTAGCTATTATAGTTGCTGAGTCTTCTGACTGTATGTCACAGTGCTGCTCTACATTGGTGTCAACAATTTAAGTTAAACTAGTTTTCAACCTTGTTTCCTATAGGAAATTAGGTATGTTATAATGTAGAGCATTACCAACAAGTGAAGGTAATTGTAAGAGCTTTGTCTTCCTAATTCATACATGTATATAACAGTATGCTAGGCAACACTCTGAAGTTCCACTGCAGGATACCAGGAATGCGTATCTCATAAGAAGTCTTTTTTATCCAGGGCCAGTTTGGATGAGACCCAGACCTCTTTGCAGAGGACTTCAAAGAGCAGACTCTTAGAGAGGATTGGGAGGGGGCACAGGCTTGGTCAGAAGCCTAGTATTGCATTAAAGCTTGCCCGCTTCTATGCAGTATGACCATCTGATACTCCCTTTGTTGCTGCTCTTTCATATTCAAAGCAAGACAGGCATACTTACTGATTTAAAGATCTGAGAATTCAAATAATACATCAAAGCCCTATGGAAGGAATTGTGAATAGTTGCTGCTATTGTGTAAAGTGTACTTTTAATTTGTTCTCTGTATCTTTTAAGACTTAATTTTTTTGTGTATGTGTATCATGTTTGTGCCTGGTGCAGGAGGCCAGAAAAGGGCATTGGATCTCCTGGAACTGGAGTTAAGATAGTTATGAGCTGCCGTGTGGGTGTTGTGAACCAAATGCAGGTCCTCTGCAAGACTGGCCAGTGCTTTTAACCAGTCATCTCTCCAGTTCCAGCAGTCAGTGCTTTTTACCCACTAAGCATCTCTCTAGCTCCTATTGTGTTTTGTTTTTTTGTTGGTTGTTTTCTTTTTTCTTTTCTTTTTTTTTTTTTTGATACAGGGCCTCACTATGATGCTCTGGTTGACTTGGAACTCACTATGTTGACTAACCTGGCTTTACACTCAAGAGCTCTACCTCCTGAGTTCTGGGATTAAGGGCATGCATCAACATTCACAGCTGTTCTCTGTATTCTTAATAATCCTAACAATTGCTGAGTTGTAATGAGACGTGAGTGAGTTCCTTTGATGCAGATCAGTGTGCATGGTCTGACCTTTTTCAGAAACTCTTCTCATAGTCCTCTCACTTTTCCCTTTCCTGTGCAGACAACAAGCAGTATCCTAAGTCACTGCTAGGTCATTGCATCCTTCTAACTTCTCTGAGCTACCAGTGAGAAACATTGGCGGGTGTGGGGTGGGGAGTGTACTGACTTGATCTTTGGACAGGCACTGATGTCTGCTTTAATGGGTTTTGGGTTTTACTGATATTGGAGCTCTGTCATAAGTAGTTCAAAACTTTAATTGCTTCTGTTCTGTAGGTTAATATGGCTCCCAAAGGGCCCCCTCCTCCGTTTCCAGGGGTGCCTCTCTTGGGTGCTCCTTTGGGAGGTCCTGTACCACCACCCATTCGATACGGACCACCTCCTCAGTTACGTGGGCCTTTCCCGCCTCGGCCACTTCCTCCATTTGGTATGATGATCTGATCAGTAGTAACTGACTTGGAAAACATATTCATCTTTTGTTCTCTATTCCTTGTTAAAAGTAGTTGCTAGTGTAGGCTTTGCCAGTGAGGATAAAGCTGAGTACATTAACTTTCCCTCAAGTTTCTGGGAACATATAGGTGCTTAACATAATCTCCCTATACTGAGATGAACAATGCTAACTCTTAGACAAAGAAAAGGGGCTCTTTACAGAAAGCCAGAAATGTTACTTCTGCCAGTGGCTGTAATGGATGTAATGGAGGACACAGATGATAACCATGCGTCCTACCATATAAAGCTTGTCACCATAGAAGCATAAGCAGCAGGTCACAGAAGGAAATTTAACACTCCCTTATCTTAGACTAGGTATGACAGAGGTGCTAAGGAGGAGAGTACAGTAGCAATCTAGTGAATGTTGCTCAGTTTGAGTCCATCTCCTTGATTTTGACAGTATGTGTTGGGTCCATGACAAGCTATATTACTGCACGAATTTTCAATTGATACCATGGTAGGCAGTAACATTTCCCTTATCAAACCTCTGATGCAGTGGAACTCAGATCTCACAGTTTGTCATCTTGGCATGATAATATAGTACTGCTAAAAGCTGGTGGAGCTGTTCTGAGATAGATGCAGAACTGCAGAATGAGAATGAAGAGAAGTTTGGTACTAAGCCAAGCCTTATTTACCTGCTGTCCACTGCTTCGTATCACAAGTTGTAATCTAGACTTGCCTCCTGTCATCAGGAGGCCTCCACTTGACTTTCTAGGACTGTGAGAAATTAAAGAGTCGGTTATCATACTTAGAAGGGTTGTTCATTTAAATATGTTGCTGGTATTTACGTGACTTAATTTTTGTTTTCCAGTTCCTGGTATGCGTCCACCACTAGGTGTAAGAGAATATGCACCAGGTGTTCTGCCTGGCATACGGGACCTGCCTGTTGATCCTCGGGAATTTTTACCAGGACACACACCATTTAGACCTCCAGGTTCATTTGGTCCAAGAGAGTACTTTAATCCTGGTACCCGATTACCACCACCTCCCCACCTGCCACCACCTGCTGCAAGAGACTCATTGCCTTCAGGACCCAGGGATGAGCCACCACCTGCCTCTCTGAGCAGTAGCCAGGATGGTTCACAGGCTTCAAAACCCAGCCCTTAACTGGCACTGAGTCAGAGAGGAAGCAGACTGTGCACTATTCATTACAGCAAAGGATTTCATTGGCTTCAAAATCCAAGTTTGTTTTACCAGGTTTGTTTTCAGTACTAAGCTGCCTTGGCAGTATGCATTTTTAAGCCAAACAATACAAATCATTTTCCCTTCTAAGTAAAAAAAATCACCTCTTAAGCTAGAATATCCTTCCAACTTTGAAATGTGCAATAAAAAATACCTGTGTTTTAGTCAATGTAGCATATGTAATTGCTAAATGATTTAGAATGTCATAAAAATATGAACATTTCCTGTGGAAATGCTTTAAGAACATGTATTTCCATTACCTTGTTTTTCGTGTATACCAGTTGAATACAGAGCAATGGTGTTTACAAGCTTGATCTTTGTTTTCTTCCTATATCTGGTCGCAAAGACTGTTACGCTAAAAATGTTTACTTAAGGATCATAAATTTTATCTCCCCTGTTGCTAAAGTTCTTTGTAGTAATAGTTCATAAAATTTGTTTATTAATATTTCCCAAGTGTCTGTGATTCTTGGATCGTCTTGATACATGTACCACTTGGGAAACCCATCACCTGAGGCTTCCAGAACTGAAGACTGAGATGACGCACACTTCTGGTTGCTCACTGCTAAGAAGGTTCAGTCTCAAAGTTCCCAGTGACCTCTACAAGAGAGTTCTTCCTTTTATTGCAAATAAGTCAGTGGTTCCTCTTGTTCTGAATTTACGAACTTTCTTATGACACTCACTGCCTATTTGAGGATGTTTTTCTGAGTATGTGCCTGCAACAGTATCAAGATTCTTTGAGTCAATGAGATGGCTCAGCAGGTAAAAGGACTTTGCTGATGACTTGAGTTTGATTCCCCAAACCCAGCCAGTGATATGAGAAAATGAACTTCCACAAATTGTCCTCTGACTTGCTTAAGAGTACTGTGGCATGCATGCATACACACATGCACACACACAATGAAAAGTCAAAAACAATCTGACATGTTCTGTTGCTTTTACCATTCTTGTAAGGGTGGCTAACAGCAAGATGAAAATAATGTGAATTCTTAATCTATAACCTGTTTTCTTTCACATCACTTTGCAGCTGGTTTTCAAGGAACATGACAAAGATTAGAAAAGTGCCAGGAGGAAGAATGACTGTGGCCCAGACACTTCACATGTCTTCAGTCAAAAACTGCAGGGTGAACTCACTTCTGCTGTGTTTTTGGAAGTCTGTCTCTGGAGCCCAAGCTGGCCTTAGATGTACAGTGATCCTCTTGTTTCAACCTCCTGAGTGCTTGAACTTCAGGCCTGAGCCACCACATCTGGCTCAATTTTTTTTTTGATAGATAACTATTCAGAAACTAATATTCAGACATTGTTTTTATTTAAAATCAAGTTAAGTCTGAGAATCTGGTATTGCATCATACTTAGTTCTTCACCCGCTACCACAGTGTGTCTTTAAATATTTTATTAATTTATGCGTGTATTGACTGCATGTATGTAAGTGCACCCTTGTCATGCAGTACCCGTTGCGGTCAGAAGAGGGCTTTGAATCCCCTGGAACTGGAGTTAGGGATCCTTGTTAGCCACCATGTGGGTGCTGGGAACAGAACTTGGGTCCTTTGCAGGAGCAGCCAGTCCTCTTAATTGCTGAGCTCTCACTTCAGCCCCCTACAGTGTGTCTTTAAAACAAATTTCTTTTTCTTTCTTTCTTTTCTTTTTTTTTTTTTTTTTGGTCTTTTTGAGACAGGGTCTCCCTGTAGCCCCGGCAGCTATCCTGGGACTCACTATGTAGACCAGGCTGGCCTTGAACTCACAAAGGTCCGCCTGCCTCTGCCTCCCAAGTGCTGGGATTAAAGGTGTGTGCCACTATGCCCGGCTCTTAAAACAATTTCTAAGAGCTAGCTGGGACATTTTATTTACAGTAACTTTAGCAGCATATTATTTAAGAGGCTTACTATTTAGAGAAAAATAATAAAAGGTTGTCACTTGTTTACTGCTACACTCTGTCCTTCTGTTATGTAAAGTCCTATGATCTAATGATGTTATTGAGACATAGGGCATGTCATGTCACTGTTGGGATGTTAAATGCACAGAGGATTTTGAAAAATGAGCAATGGGGCTGGAGAGATGGCTCAGCGGTTAATAACACTGTTCTTGCAGAAGACCTGGGTTCGAATCCCAGCACCCACATGGCAGCTAACAACTGTCCATAACTCCAGTTCCAGGGTATCTGACAGCCTCTTCTGCTCTCTGCGAGCATTGCACGACATGGGCACACTTTACCTACATGCAGGCATAATACTCATACACATAAAATAAAAATAAAATATTTAAAAGAAAAATGAGCAACGGCTTCAGTGTGAAATCTTTATCAAATTGTTGAAGGCAGTAACAGAAAGATGAGCTCTCTGAAGGAAGATAACTCTCAGAAAGCTCTAAGGGAGCAGGTAGGTCCTTTGGGGTGAGTTCAATCTGCTTAAACCCCATGTAGTATTAAAGATAGAAGAAATACATCTATAAGAAAATGCCAGAATAACACGTGCCATTTTTAACCATGTAAAAATAAGATTAAATTGCTAACAAATTGTGAATGTCAATGCACTTAAAACAGTAGTGAAGCTTATGTAACTTCTAATTTCACCCCTTTTTTTAGAGACAAGACTATATAGTCCAGGCTTGCCTTAAACTTACTATCCTTCTGCCTCAGTTTCCTGAGTTCTGGGGAAGGCATGTGCCACCATACCCAGCTAACTTCTGATTTTAAATATATAAAATGAAGGTTATACCAACTAAGAAAATAATCAAGTAGGAAAGCTAAATTACATCTCTTTAAAATTCAAGACTATAGAGTATTTCCCCTCTAAAGCTCTTTTGGTATTGCCTTACATCATAGAAAAATCAGGATGATGTAGAGACACCCTGGTGTAGCCTATCTGAGCACTTTTGAAACAATCCACCACCGAGCCTTCTCAGCCCTCATTGTAGAGCCTATGTGGCAAAGCCCTAGTCAAGCTGTCAGTATACAGACCATGCAGAGGACACCATGCCTGTCAAATCGGACGTTTCCATCCCCCATGTTCTGGTGTCTCAGAAGTCACCTCCAGCTAGCTAATTGTGTTTCTGGGTTGAGTGGCTAAAACCATCTCACTTGGAAGCAGCAGCATTTCACTGAAAGCGCCTCTGCTGCAGCTGTGAGTAACTGACCAAGGTTTTTCATTGCAAAGTAAACTTGTGAGATGTGGAATGTTCTAGGTTAGCTGCTTTAAGATGGTCTTTTTGTCATTCAGGTCCGAATTAAAGCTAAGCTCATTACATGGTGTTCTGCTTAAGCCCCTTCAATTCCAATGAAAGGCATTTGCAGTTCATATAAACCACACTTACGTGAAGATAAATTTTGGTATACATGACTACAGTCTATGAGAAAAGAGGAAAAACAGTATCAAGTTTTGCTACATTTTAATAGTAGGTATTAAGGGATTATTTTTAGGTCTGACCAGCAACATAAATCAAAAGGTACTGAGCACTCCACAGGTGCAGAGGGCTGCCAAGCACCCTAGGATGTTTCATGGTGTGGAAGAACACGTTCCTGCCCCTTGCAGAGCTTACAGAGCAACTCAAAAGCTTGAGTTGCATGAACGATGAGCTAATTTAAGGCAAATTCTTCATCCCCTAGCACTATTGTAGACTGAATTATTTTAGCATTTGGAATTAATCCAATCAAGAAGACCAAATTTGGTTGCAAATTCTTTCCACTTATTGATGCTCATCTGGTAAACAATGACCTAGCAGACAACCGAAAGTAGACTGGATCTCCATGCGAGGGCAAGACAGCGTCACTGTGGCTACTTTAAAAAGCAATACACTGAGTGTATAATGAAGGTTTATTTAAAAATAGGCCAAGTACTGACAGTGCAGTCCCTCATGCAGTTCATTTAAAAGTGAATATTAAAATATGTGGGTTCTATGTCTAACCCACAGAAAGCCCCTCATAAATCTTAATGTTCTGTGTAACAACTATCCACCTCCTATGCATTATGAAAGTTCTATTTATGCCTCATTGTTAAGTCAAAAGTAAATAGTCAATTTAAAATAAGCTAATGACCTGCATATTTCCATATGGATTCAGTATATCTAAATAGGAAATAAATGGCAATCCTATCTACCTATATTAAAAAAAATAGACTATCTTTCCAGATTCTGCATACTCAGTGCTCTAAGAGGTATGCAGGTTTTAAGGTTTCACAATTAGGTGTCAGAAAAGCAGCCATATTTCTGCAGTATCTTATTAACACCTGACTCAATTATTTTTAGATTATACAATTTAAAAGACATTGTAAACCCATTTAAAAATCTGTAATTATTCTGAGATGGTTCCAATGTTAACCCTAGACTCTATCAGAAAGAGTAAAAATGTGATATAGAAGAATAGCTAATCCACATGACTACACATATGCTCACTTTCAAAAAACAATCTGGTCATCACAGCTACATTCTGGGGAACACTCCATATGGGTCCCTCATCTGGCCAGGGCACACTGTTGCTAAGAAGGGGAACCATGGCACCGGGAGTTAGCCCACCTCTAAGGACTAGCCACACACTTCCAGACAGACCTTCCTAGGCAGCATAACTGGTCCAGTTCCTCCCAAAACAGTTCAGAACTATTCTACCCACCTTATCTCAAGAGTGTGACATTAACTCAAACCAGAAAAGCATACTGGAGCAAAAGTGAGCACAGGTGTAAACTCTAGCACATTCTTATTGCTCTATGGTCTGAAGATCAAGCACACCTACCACAGTTGTATTCTTCCAGGAAACAGTAGGAGTGACAGTGATGAGAAAACACTAGTAACTGCACAATTAACAGTAAAAATGTCTCAAAATCTACAGTAAACCTGTATCCAAAGGCGTGATAGGCCAGTGATGTGCTGAACTTTTTTAAGTTCTGTGGTACAGCTCTGTAATAGGCTCGCTGGCCTACTGGCATGGGTAGGGCTCATTTTTTGCCTGTTGATGGGTAATGTGCTACACAGAGCTATGATGGTTTCTGAGCGGTAAAATTCACAGATGTTCCAGGTTATTCATATCAGGATCACTCCTTGTGCAAAGTTTGGTATAGATGAAGATAAAGTGGTTTCTTGGTCAATAATTGCAATTTCTTTCTTTTAAAGTCAGTGGGTTTCTTGTATCTGTAACCACAATAGAAAGATCACTGTTTACAACATGGTGATGACTGATTCCAAGGTTAGGTAAGAGTCTTAGAAGCACACATGAAACAGCACTGAAATAGTACCAGTCCTACTGTGCCAGTTACTTACAGTTCTATTACAATTGGCCCAGGTTTAATTTCATCCATCTCCATGAAAGCAAAACACTTGGTGCTGGTAAACCTCTTTTTAGGCTTGTAGTGTTTGAATTCAAAGAAGATAGCCGCACCTAGGGAATTAAAACAAACCACATAAACCAGACAGTGCCTTCTGTGCGCAACAGTTTTCTTTGGCAACTGGAAGCATAAGAACAAGCAACATTTTGCATGATTTATAAAGCAGCCTGTCACAGTCTGATGACCTATCACCCCAAACTCTGCCATGTCTGAGTGTCGTTTCTCCATTATCTAATCCCACAAAGTCTAGCAAAACTACCTGAGGTAGACTGCCTCAAGAATTTAAGTTATATACACAGGTAGAATTAATAAGCCACTAAAAACCACCAAATTAGGGCTAAGGAGATGGCTCAGTGGTTAAAGCTCTTTCCCTGCAAGAGTGAGGGCTGAAGTTCGGATCCCCAGAACCCATGGAAATGCCAGGTGGGCATGGTGGCCTGCATGCTGTTCCAGGGCTTAGAAGACAGGGTTTCTGGAGCTGGCTACTGGAGCTGGCTAGTCAGGTAGCTGTATCAATAGGCTTTGAGTTCAACTGAGAGAGACTGCCTTGAATACGGTGAGGCGCAATCAAGAAGACTCCCGACACTGACCTCGAGCACCCACACACAAACACAAACCTCTCACATTCACATAAAAAAAAAAAACCACAAAATAAAAAACTCCAGAGGAGGAACATAGATGACATGGGAACAGCTTCAAAACATGTTGTACTAGGTAGACTGGACTGTTGAGTTCCTTTTAAAAACAAGCTTGAATAGCTTCCTTTCTAAGCCCTCAAATCCTATTTTGGGGTGCTGAATCCAAACACGAGTCACATGCTGGTTCAATTGTGTCACTTGTTTCCTAATACCTGCTTCACAGTCCAAAGCCCTATTTTTTTTACCCTGTAATTGCCCACATCTATAGCAAGATGTGCTGTGAAAATGCCTAAAGCAAGGCTATTTGACTCTTCCTCAATAATCAAGCATTCATGGGGCTTAGTTCTGTATCTCTGAAGACCACCAGATTCTCTATCCTGCAGAGAAAACCAAGATTAGAGAAGCAATTTACCTCACCAGTGTAGCCAACAACTGATTTCTAAAAAGGTATGGAAACTAATGGAAGCTGGTGCCTCATTCACCTGGTTGCTACTTAAGCCTGCCTTAACCAAGGTGGTGCTCGATCTTGTCTTTTACAGTTAGCAGACAACTAATTCAGTGACACAAAACTTCTAACTAAAGTTTAGCAATGTTCTGAAATATGTGAACAGCCCTGGAACTTGGGAGCAAAGAGAGCGTTTCACATGTCAAGTGTGGAAAGAAAGCGTATCAGTCAAGAATGAAGGTGAGGGAGGAGAAATGGGGACACTTACTCATGTATACCTCCCTGACACAAAAGCATTACAATAGTTGGGCTTTTGATAGTCAGCTTTCCCTGTTCACAAAGGTGTACATCTTTCCCTACTCCTGCAGCAATAGCAGAATCATCTTGTTATCAAAAAGACACTTTGAATATATCAGACCACATTTCTTAGTCTCTTCAGCATGGAAACCCATCTTCTCAACATGATTGTGTCTGAGGTCTGGAAAATGTTAATAAAACTATGCTTGAAAACATGTCTACATATGTTATTATCATTTTAAGGAGGTGAAGAACTTTCCTGCATCAGCAGAAAACTGTTATTTCCTGAAGTCTTGGGATGCAGAGCACTACACTCCATGCACTTATAAGAAAAATGTGAAATAAATAAGACTTTACCAAGATGACTAATTGAAAGGTTCATAAACATGAAAGCAAGTTCATTAACATTAGCATTAGTTAAAAACTATAGAAACTAGAGGCTGGAGAAAGAGATCAGCAGTTAAGAGCATTGGCTACTGTTGTACAGGACCTGGGTTGAGTTCCCAGCACCCACATGGCATCTTAACAACCATCTATAATTTCAGTTCCAGGGGATCCAACACCCTCTTCTGGCCTCTGCAGGCATTACTTGACACAGGTGCACTTACAAGCAGGCAAAACACTCATACACATAAAAATAAACATTTAAAAAACCTAATTAACTAAATATTAAGTTCAAAGCCAGAGAAAAGGGATAGAGAAGTCCTGAATCTAGTTCAAGTATTCCTCAATCACCAGTAAAGAACAGAGTGCAATAAAACTGAATGATTAGCCAGGAACCACCTTCTTCTCCTCACATCAAAGCAATGGAGAACAAGAAAAGGAAAACTTGCTAAGGTACATGCAATACCTCCCTAGCTACACATTCTAACCCAGCAACTTTCCTAACCCAGTGACTTTCAATTTTTAGCATCTATCAGAATGACCTGAAAGACTTTCTAAACCACACTGCTGAGACTGCACCACAGTGCCTTAGTTGGGGTTCAGGAGAGTCTATGCTTTCTGGGGGCCACATTCTAAGAACTACTACCCTAGCAGAAGCACTGAAAGGCGATTCACAGACAACGCCTACAGGAGGCTGCAGCCCGATTTAAAAGGTATCAATACTACGGAGGCTGTGGGAGTGTCTGTAAAGGCACTTGCCATCACACACGCTCCCTAAAGAACCGGACAGTCTCAAAAACTGCACAGGTGAGAAAGATTCTGAATCTCTACAGAGAATACAAATAATCTGGTGGGTAAAACATAACTCAAGTATTTAATGCTAAGAAGTTTGTTAAGATGGAAATGGAACTTCACTGTGTTAAGTTTGCTTTATTCTTTTCCCATTTTCCAACAAACTGCAAGTTATGGCGTCTTCGTACCCAGTACATCCAAGCGGAAGAAAAGAGCTAGGAAGCACCATTGGAACATTCCTGCTTCCTTGACTCTTCAGGATGAGAAAAACATCTCCTGGGTGTTGGGAATAGAATTTGGGTCCTCTACAAAAGCAGTACACCCTCTTAACTGCTGAGTCATCTTTCCAGCCCACTTCCACATTATTTTTTGAGATAGGGTCTCTCACTGAACCTGGAGCTTGCCATTTCAGTTAGACTGGCTGGTCAGCAAGCCCCTAGCCCCTAGAATCCACTCTTCTGTCCCCTCCCACCCAGCACTGGGGTTACAGAGAGCAAAGCAGGTGCCTTCCCATGCCTGGCTTTTATGTGGGTGCAGTGGATCTGAGCTCAGGTCCTAATATTTACATAGCAAATACTTAACCCACTGAGCCATTTCCCCAGCCCAAAATTTTACTATTAAAGAACACATTCCAGTGCTGTTACCCAACTAGACGATACACCTCCTAATTTGAACATTGAAAGATGTTACTGATTTAGCGTTGTTCAATTAGCCTAACCAGGTGATAATGACTTCTGCTGGACACTGGCTATGCTGGGTCCACTGTACACGCCCCCAACTGAGTGCTATCCATAGGAAGACAGAGATTTACAGTTACAAACCTTTCGTTAATTTTTCAACATGCTTCTGGAGCTCAATGTCCACATTAAAATGAACATAAGTATCTTCTTTTCTTGAAGCCACAGGAGTATCTTGTACAGGAGTTAAATCTATGCCATTCAAATCTAGAGAGAAACAAGTTTCTGCTTAGGAACATTCATGTGTACAGACTATAAAGGGTCATGTTTCCTTCAGAGGCTCAGAGAGAGCTGAGAGGAGAGTCTCAGGCTCACAGAGATTCCTTCTGAGCCTGAGTGGGGACCTGGGAACTGCTGTTGTTCACAGGGCATGTGGAGGGAGCCAACCAGAGAGGATGAGAAACCTTGACAAATGAAGTTTCCCCTGGCCAGTGGAAACAAAACAAAGTTTGTAGAAGATCAAATTTGATCTTTAAGAGGTGAAAAGCACTTCTTGTTTTCCTGAAATAAATGACCCACTCATTTCTATGGATAATAAACATCTGGAATGTATATAATTTGCTACAAAGTGGTACCCTCTCCCTATTTTTGGAAATGTCTTTAAATTCAGAATGACTCTGAACTCCCCTGTTGTGTTCAAACCAGATGGACATAAGAGCTGCCAACAAAACTCTTTCATCAATGACCAAATGTAACCTAGATTCTAGTTATGTTTCCTAAAACACAGCATGATTTACAACCAGATGGTATACTAAGTTACTAGGTATGGCTTGTATTTCCTAGATCTAGGAATCCTACTTAATTAAATTCAACATGGGCTTATCTGAGGACTAAGTATGTATATATTATGCAATAACGCTGTCTCAGGAACCTAAAGTAATTCAGTACATCTGATTACTTCAGTTCTTAAAGATGTGAATGCAAACCATGTTTTAGCTCAACCCACATGCAAAAAGAACTTAATACCCACTCCACTATCATTAAATATTTTCACGTTTACCATGGACATTTCTGAACAAGTTATGTCATTTTGTAAGTGGCCTATCAAACAATGGAGGGTATAAACACTTTCCATACTTGGTAACTGGAAATATCTTAAAGTATTACTTTCATTAGTGCTGGCAATCATGGTCTGTATATATGAATTTTTTTTTTCTCTGTGGCTAAGTTCCTTTATCTTTTAATTGGTACTAATGAACCCTTAGTCTGAGTTTATTTCTACAACTGACCAAAATTTCCTCCATTTAATTTTAGCCCATATTTGTTTCTTTGATTAGCTTCAAACTGCAGCTTAATGTAAACCACTTGTATTAACTGTAGTTATTCCTTGATAATGGTAAGACTTTACCCTTAGTGATTCAATAATAATTATTCTTACTATTAATTTTTTTGAAACGGGGTCTCACTATGTTATACAAATTGGACTCAAGTGATTCTCTTGCCTTTCCCTAGAAACCGGGATCACAGGTATGCTCCACCACACCTAACATCCAATAATTATTTTTCTAAAGACTGTATTGTATGACATGTATGGCAACAACAAAATAATCTAACCATGTGGTTTCAATGTTTAAAAAGTTGCTTTCTGCCGTGTGTGGTGGCGCATGCCTTCAATCCTAGCACTTGGGAGGCAGAGGCAGGCAGATCTTTGTGAGTTCGAGGCCAGCCTGGTCTACATATGAGTTCCAGGACTGGGGCTACAAGGAGACCCTGTCTCAAAAAAGACAAAAATTTAAAAAAAGTTGTTTTCAAGAAATAAATGGACTGTCACCATGGTAAGAGGGAAAAAAACCCAACAGATCCCTAGAACAATCCTAACTCTGATAATAAACTTCTCTGCCCATGGGATTACACTCAGGGTATGGATGCTACAGATGTGCCTTCCTCCTGAACTCTACTGAGGATGTTCTGGAGGCCCGACTTTCATCCCCTTCTGCAGGATTTGCCTTACAGAAACCTGTCACAGGAAGGAGAGGACCTAAGTGGGAGGTTCAAACCACATGCCTGGGGAAGGGGAAGACTGTTTCTGCTAAGGGGAATGTGCGTTGCTAGCCGGCACTCTAAAAGGGGCCCGAGGTAGAACAAGACACAAAGACAAACCCAAAAGCAAAAGTGAGTCTCAATTATGAATTTAAAAATGTTTATTAACTGGACGTGGTGGTACACGCCTTTAATCCCAGCACTCAGGAGGTCAAGGCCAGCCTAGTCTACATAGTGAGTTCTAGGCTAGCTGAGAACTGTCTCACAAAAAAGAAAGAAAGAAAAATTTACTAAATCTCTCAGAAGATTCGGTGAAGGAGAAATGATCAATTCCAGGGATCTCCTGTCACTGCAGAATAAAGTAACATGAACTGCTACAGATATAAGACCCACTCCTCTATGTAAGAAAAAAAAAAAAAAGAAAGCTCTACATGAAAAGCAATGTTATAATATTTGCCAGAGGGGAAAAAAAATGGAGACAGAATTATTTACCCTTTACGCTCACTGTAATATATGGATCGATACACTGCCCGGCGTCTTTCAAACCAATTTTCTCAATTTTGATAGTGAGTAGTGTCATTCCTGGTTCTGATGGCAACCTTGGTAATAAAGTACCTGGCAACAGAGAAACCACAATAAAAGTGAGCACCACCAGTAACTTCAGAGTAAATATTTTAGCAGGCAGGAAAGATACAGGCTTACTCTTAACTTAGTAACTAGGCAGACATTGCATATTTTGCTTTCCAGAACTCTCAAAACACTGTTCTTTTGTTTATGTTTTGTTTTGAGTCAGGGTCTCATGATGTAGCTTAGGGTGGTCTTAGCTTTCTGAGTGCAGAGATTACAGGCATGTACCACCACACCTGGCTTGACGTTATTCTCTGTGAAAAAATATTTAGTTATATGCAAGATAAATATGTACTCCATTATGTCACAAACACCTTTTAAAAGAATTATTAATGCAAGCTTGTTAAAAATTCAAACAAAATCATGAAATTTGCAGGTAAATGAATGGAACTAGAAACTGTCATAGTAAGTGAAGTAATACAAACAACATGTTTGCTCTCATTTGTGGATCTTAGGTCCAAATCCCTAGATGTGAGTATATATCCTGATGCAACTGCAGGAGCCAGGAAAATGGAAAGGAACCACGTGGAAAAAGGGGAAGAATGAGCTTGAAGAGGGAGATAGCAGGAGACGGGTGTTATTAAGGGGGAAATGAGAAAGGGAAGTTACTTTAACTGGGGAGAAAGTAGGGAGGGTTATACAGGGGGAGTGAGAGGAAAGATAAATAATGCTTAGATAGTATGAAAAACCAGAGGATATCTATCTATCTCTATCACCTATCATCATTTATCATCTATATGGCTGAAGGTTATATAACAAAAAACACAGTGCCAGGCAGGCAAAACCTCCCTTCCAGTCCTTGGTCAGGGTAGTCCAAGAGACTCCCAAAATTAACACAGGCTATTACTACAGCTCTTGATTGCCTCTCAGAATTTGAAGGTAAGACCCTACTGCTGAAGACCTGACCTACTTTGGATACAGGACTTGGAGCAATCAAGCTGGAACTGACCTGGAAGCTTCCTACCTGAAGACTAACTTTCATGGTATCAGAGGATGGTATACAAACTGCTGCCAAGGGAGAAAACTAATCAATGGTCCTACCCAGCTGAAAAGCCTAACAAATAACGACTGGCCCAGCAAACTATTACTATTGTTACTATTGCTATTTTTATCTTGGGGATAATCAACAGCTGTCTAATTGGAATTAAGTCCCACTCAATGGGAGGGAACTCATGTGTAGACACAGCCAAACATACATGGCTGACAAGATCACAGATCCTAGGGAAAAACCTACTTTTGCCACATCCCTAGAGCAACATAAGTTCTTCGTTCTAAATATGCCTCCTCATATTTACAGACAAGTGTAGCTTTCACCCCTCATCAAAGGAGCTGCTTTCTGCAAAACGTGGAGACTATTGCAGAGTTCCAGAACTGGTCAAACACAGAGAATAAGTGTCTGTAAGACAATGTAGCCTCTACACATAGGATGAATGCATCTCTCAACTCTGGTCAGAGACATTTCCTTATGCAGCAGACAGTGATTAATACAGAGACCCACAAATTAGCCAATGTGAAAAGAACAGGAAGTCACAGAGTACTTATCTCCGAAGAGCACACCTATTTCAAACCTCTGCCTCCCAAGGCTCAGGGATCATTGCAGAAGAGGAGACAGAAAGATTTTAAGAGCCCGAGAGTGGATGAACCACAAAGAAACAGTCTTCTAGATGGCTAGTCAGTTACTCATATGAACTCACAGCCGCACACATCCTATGCCAGCTCAAATCAGACAAAAATCCCAACATAGACATGAGGAATTGGTAAGAAATTTCAACACAACTTTTAATGAACTTTGGGCAACCTTGATGGCTGCTGGGAGGGGAAAGACAGTGTCTTACAGGGATGGGACTCTTGGTGAGCCCAGTGGATGGACCACACTGAAGCACATTTAGGGACACAAATCAGACTATAGGCCACATAAATTGGGCAGGGAGCAGTGAGGGGAGGCACAGCTAGGGGAGGAGATCTAAATACCATCAAACTATATGGTATGAAAATCACAAAATTCTGGGCTGGGCGTGGTGGCACATGCCTTTAATCCCAGCACTTTGGAGGCAGAGGCATGTGGATCTTTGTGAGCTCGAGGCCAGCCTGGTCTACACAGTGAGTTCCAGGGCAGCTGGGGCTACAGGAAGACCCTGTCTCAAAAAATAAAATAAAATAAAAAAATAAAAGACAATCACAAAATTCAATAAGAATAAAATACAAGTTATTCAAGGAAGCCCAATTACAAATTATCACAAATCAAAAATATATTATGCCCACAGAATATATATATATATATTCAATATACACTCATAAATATAATTACCTTACATCTCCATATGAACTGGTAGAACAGAGACAGGAAAAGCTTTTTAAATATTTCTGTTATTCTAAAGCTTGAGAAGTGTAGTATCAGAGTAGACCAGCAAATCTTTTAGATATTACAAATTTAAAATATTTATTTATTTTCATTTTATGTGTATGAGTGTATTGCCTGCATGTTTGTAAGTGCACCCATGAGGAGGTCAGAAGAGGGCATCAGATCCCCTGGAACTGGAGTTACGAACAGCTGTTAGCCGCACCTGGGTGCTAGGAATCAAACCCAAGTTCTCTACAAGAGTCAGCTCTCCAGCCCTGTTACTACTAATTTGTAATCTAGTATTTATATTCACTTACTGGATAACTCAAGAGTCTAAATCCCACTCTCCCTCATACTCTGTATGATTTGTTCTCTCCAAAGTTAGAGAGTGTCACTGAGGGTGACAAACTATGAGTGAAATTTCTATGTTTGAAATATTTTCCATATACCAATTAAATACTCTGTAACTAAAAGACCAGGCTGGGGAGATGGTTCAGTGGGTAAATGCGCTTGCTCTGCAAGCCTAGTTTGAATCCCCAGCACCTGTGTAAAAAGCTGCCACATGGCTGCACTTGCCTGAACCTAGCATGGTGGGCTGAGATAGACATATCTCGGGGGCTCACAGCCTAGCAAAACAGTGAGCTTCTGGTTGAGTCAGAGAGTTGGTCTCAAGGCAGTAAGTGGAGAGTGAGAGATGATACAGGATACAGAATACCACACTTGCATAGGATTTGGGATGATGCCTTCCAGTTTCTGTTCAATAATATCAATGTCTTGTCTTATCTTTTAATGATGAAGTGCCTGGATACATGAGTCAATACATTCTAAAATATACATCTGATATATTTTAAACAGTGAAGAGGTTTGAGCGAATTGAGGGGAGGAAGTGGAAATGTTGTAAAACTGGATGATGGTGATAGACGTACAGATTTGTAAATGTATCAAGAATCAATTGTATACTTATGGTGGGTAAACTGTATGATACATCATACCTTAATAATGCTCTTAGATAGTGGTTTAAAGATATGTCACAATTTTTTGTGGTTTTGTTTTGTTTGGTTTTGGTTTTGGGGGACAAGGTCACATCATTTAGCCCCGAATGTCCCTGAACTCACTATGTAGCCCAGGCTGGCCTCAAACTCAGGCGAACCCTCTAGCCTCAGTCTCAGAAGTGCTGAAATTACAGGCATGAGGCACCACACCCAGCTCCTATTCTTACTAATTTAAATAAATATGAAGACAGCACAGAAAATGCAAGAGTGGGAAAGAGAGGCTCCACCTCAGTGCTGCAGTAACAAAACTTAATGGACTAGGAATAACTGTGAATATACATAAATCTAAGACTTTCTATTCTGTCTTGGACTGTCCTTTTTTTTTCAAACACAGGTGCCTCCATAACAAGTGCTTTGAACTAAACTCCAAGGTGAGCTTTAGAAAGTTAATACTTTTGAAGTCTCATGGAAAAAATGAGTACTTATTTTGAGTTCTTCTGCAGAAAAGTTCATACTATTATATAGGATTTGTTATATAAATAATGAAATTTATGCACCAATTCTTCCATTCATGGACATCTGAATGGCTCAAAATCTTGGGTATTATTAACAACACAACCATAAACACAGCTGGTGCAAACATTTCTGAAACAGAGGCTGCTGAGTCGCCTGTCCCCCGGCTCACCCTGCAGTCACTCCTGCAGACGTTAGGTATCCGACCCTGGCGAATGTGGAGCAATGCTGGGTCTTCACTGGCCCTTTGTTTTCTCAGAGTCTTTGACCACCTTGGGTGTGGAGAGGTGGTGATCTAGTTGTGACTCGCAGTTCCCTGAGGATTAGCAAGGTGGCACATCTTTTCACACTAGAGAGGGCATTTGCATTTCCTCTTATCTGAAGTGTGTGTTCAGTTATTTTAACCATTTTTCTGTTGAAATATCCATCTTTTCCTTATTGAGTTGTGGAAAATCTCTAATATACTGATAAAAGCTTTTGTTGCATGTTTTACCAACAGCTTTATAGCGGCTTTCCTTTTAAAAACTTTTATTGAAGCACAACATATATATATTTAGGCACCTAAAATTTAAGTACAGATTGCTGGATTTTCAGTATGAACACACCTGTGCAAGTAGCACCTGACCATGCAAAAGGGTGACACCAGCATGCCGAAGCATCCATGGTCCTTCCTCATCCCACCCCACAGGCAAATCACTCTCCCAAACCACAGCAACCATGGCTGCCTTCTAACACCAAAGACTTGTCTATTTAGAATAACTTTTCTATGTACTAGTGTCTTCTCTGATAAAGCTAATATAGTTAAATTAGTCTTAATCTAGT